TTCAGAGATCCCATCAGTAACTCTGGTAAATGTGAATTGGATAATCACTGGAACCCTACATTTTCCTCACTTAAGTGGCCCTCAGTTGACAGTTGCTGGCTGTCACATGATTGAGCTAGATAATTAAACAGTGGTGAGGGTCACAATGGTGGTCATGTCATTTATTTTTTTTCTCATTGTTTTCATATTTTCTATTTAGTGATGACTGACAAACTGACTCCTGGTGAATCAACAGTTCACAAGAGAAGAGCTAGCCTACTATTTCTAACTTTGCTGTAACACTCAGCCTTATAGTTTGCCCTTTCGAATTCTCCTCACATTGTGTGAGCATGGTCAGAGACTCTGCTGTCCTGGAGTATTGTTACTCTTTCTGCACTGTGAGCATCAGGTTGCTGTTAGAATACTGCGTGCTGCTTCCGCTGATGTTGCTGTGAGGCCCAGCCTGGCAGTAGGTCTTGTGAGTCCCAGGGCTTCTCCCCATGAACAACCCAGGTCCTCTCAACCTGAGGTTGCTCTGTGACTATGCCTTGCTTTTATTGAGAAGCACAGATACTCCTGCCAGAAAAATCCCCCTGGTATTGGCTCACTGTGTTTATTGTTTGGGGATTACCACCAGTGGCTGGATAAATTCCCACAGGAAATCCTTTGTGACCCAGAATAGTACGATTCTTGCTTCTACTGTTGTTGTCTGGTCTTGAGCCTAGAAGAAGAGAAAGGATCCACCTGTGCAAAGCTGTCCTACTGGGTCAGAAAGTCTGAGAAAAAAATGACTCACTCATGTGAGTCTGACTCTTGGGCTCACAGTACCCCATCACTTCGGAGGTGGTTGGAAATGCAAAAGCAGGTCCCACCCGAGATGCACTCAGTTGGGATCTATATTCTGGGTGAATGACATACAGAGTAAAGAGTGAGAAATGCTCCTTCACAGAAGCCTCTCCAAGGAGCAGACAGGGATCTTTGAAGCCCCAGCATGCCTGCTGTATACACCAGCGCCCTGTCTGGTTAAAGATGCTCTCCAGGCCACACATAACCCCCTCTACTTGTACAGAGTTGCCAGTCCACTGTACTGAGTGCACGCCCCCTTCAGAGTGCCAGATGTGAGTAGCTAATGCCATTGCCCAAAGGACCTGGAGTTAGTTCCACGGCACCGTAACTGGTACTGTCTGGATCTGAAGAACTTTAATTCTCAAGCTTTTCCAGCTCTCCCTTCTAGTACAGTCCTGCATGGTGGGTGGACCCCACATTTCTTACTGTGATGTAGATTATTCTCAAGAAAGCTTTGTAGGCAACAAGGCCCTGGAAATGCCAAGACTTGTTCACAGTCAGCAGAAGCTTGTCTTCTTCCTAGTCAACTGAATAAAAAAAATCACTGAAATAGGAATAAATGACTGTCAAGAATCATTTAAATATACCAGGCACCTCATCTTTTTTTGGCCCATATATATCCTTTTCCTGATAAGAAAGTATGGGCACCATCAAAGCAAGGACTCCAGCATCCTTACCACTCTTTTTGTCCTCCTGTCTGATGTAGTTTCTTGACTGGAAGATTTGGATCCAGAAGTTAAATTTAGATTTCCCGCCATAGATGGTAGTGAGGTGTAGTGGGAATGCTAGATTATTATATATCTGTATGATACCCTTAGAATTCCAGGCAGTCTCATTGTGGTATTGTTCTATTCTGTATGTGATTCCAGATTATAATAGCTGCTCAGACATGTAGACATTAGCATTGCACATTTTAAAGGCAGGCATTCTGCAGTCAAAAGCCCTGGAACCTTCAGCAGATCAGCATAACACTGACAGGCAAGCAAGTCCAGGGTAGCCTGATAGTTAGGAATGGATGTCTGCAGTCAGATCACTGGGGTTTGGCTCTGCCACTTCCTGGGTGACTTTGGGCAAGTCATTCAACTTCTCAAGGTCTGCTCTGTAAAGGGACAGTAATAATAGCTCTGACTTCAAAGAGGTATTATGAGAATGAAAGGAATCAACATATGTAAAGTAGCTTAAGACAGTGCCTGACAGATAGTAAGTTGGTAATATTAACCACTGTTGTTAAATCTGAAGTATGATGAATTGTTTGGTTCAGTGAGATCCTGAACATAAGCTAGTGGCCAAATGAAGAGGCTGGCAGATGGAGGTTCACATCTTCCTGCTTCCTAGAGTGCTAACTCACAGTAAGGGAGCCCAGAAGCCATGCAGCAGAAGGGAGGCACAGGGCGGCTGTAGGCAGGCTGAGGTGGCAGGACTTCCCAAATGATTGAACTGACTGTGCTTTCATTACAGGAAGCAAGATAGTCTAATGAGCTGCATTTCCTAAGGCTGGACATTTGGCCGGCCATGGCACCTTTGCTTTTTCCTCTGAGCTCCAGAGTCACCCTGAGAAGTAGAGCAGTGCTGTACTTCCTAGATTTACAGAGAAGGAGACAGAAGTTCAGCTAAGGTAGTAGCTTGGCAGAAGTAAGCCTCACTAACTAGAGCCTGGTACCCAGACTCCAGCTCCAGTGTCTTTTCTGTCCATCCTCTCAGTACATTAGCAGACCCTGCAATAAGGTGCCTGAGGAACCCAGAAAGCCATTGAGAAGATCCATTTCACTTTTCCCCTCATTGGAAGTGCAAAGGGCGAGCAGCTCTGGAAAGAGTAGTCAGAATACTTCCTGCCCAAGGGAAAGACCTGCCTTGTGGCTGGTGCACTCAGACCTACATCTGTGTGCTTTGAAGTCACCTGTAAGGTGAAGGGAGGGATCTAGAAAGAGGAGGTGGCAGTGGTTTTGTGCTTGGTGTGCTTGGCACCTTCTACAAGCCATGCTAAGCTAATGAGAAAGAGGGCGTGGAGTGCTCCCTGTGCCTTGGTCAGGGTGAATCACCTAAGCATACTGTGTGGAAGTGTCACTGATGGACTATCTGATCAGGACAAGGAAGACAACTGTAGATGGATGCCTCAGCTGTGCCTTCCTTATTCATAACAGTCCTTGCTAACTGACCTTGATGTTTCCCACTGAGGCTCGTCATCCTCCTGAACCCAGGACTCCAAGCAGCCACCACCCTTCAGGTCCATTAAGTTACAGGGAACCCATTGCCTATTTCTCATTTAATGGCATGTTTTTTTGTTATTTAGATGATTCTGGAGTTCCTGGTGGTGGCAGCTGTTTCTAATGTTACCACTTCTTTGACACTTCTACTTTTTGCTGTGTCATCAAGCAGCTCTTCAAATAAAAACTGACCACGGAAATCCTCATCGTCTGTGTTCATTGTGACTAGCCACCTCTTCTGTATTTAGGGGCAAACTTTGTCTTTTATTCCATCCACTAGAATCTGGAAGGGAGATAGTGATTTAAAAAAAGAAAAAGGGACTTCTCTTTCTTCCAAGTGCACACAAGATTGGTACTCCCTATCCACACAAGCCGAGATGTGCTCTCCCTGCCCTGCCCTTGGGAGCAGGTTCTCTGAGGCTGCAGTTGGCTATGTCTGCCTTGGCAGGCCACATAGATAATAAGCAATCATGTCTCACAGATGGTTTTGTTCTGAATGTTTGCAGGGCTCTATGAGACCTTGAGCACTGCACTTCTAAGAACTTAGAGGGCAGGCATTGTTCTGATTGGGTCACAGCTCATTTGTTCTTTGGTTTAGTTAACTAGAACCAGGGTCTTGCTATGTAGCCCAGGCTGGCCTCAAACTTGAGATCCTCTTGCCTCTCAGCCTCTGGAATTACAGGCCAGTATTTGAGCATTGGGAGATGAGAGTAGGAGAGGGGTGGCAGGACAGTGGAGGCAATGCAAAAGGAACAGAATCCCAGGCCTACTTTCATTATCTTAATGCAGTTGGTATCTGCATCATTAGAGTCATTCCATGAAGTGATCTGAAAGTGACCAATACTGGGCCCCTATGTAAAAAAGTCCTTTGGCCACTGGAGCTCTCTCAGGATTATCATGGAGCCCACAGACTGCAGCTTCCTATCAGCACAAGAGCTTTGGGTTCACATTGATCAGGCCTGGCCAGTGACACTCAGTTTCTACACAAAGACCACTCAGTGCCTTTAAAGATGTTTATTGTAAATTTACTGTGACTTTCCCTGGTCATAATTATACAGCATTTGGAAACTAGAAAAAGATAAAAGAAAAAAAATCCATTATTCTACAATCTTTAAAAACTCTTAACATTTAGAAATATTTCACTGAAGTTTCTTTGTTTCTGTTCATCTGTATAAGTTTTAAGAAAATCTGTATCATAATGAAAGTACAGTTTTACCACGCTCTTTTTACACTTATGTATTTATTTTTTATACTATTAAATAAACCTTTGTTCCTTCCTATTATTGCTTATACTCTCTCTACAACAAAATTAGAAATAAGGGCAAAATAGTTTCTGCTGAGTATTGAGGGGGGGGAGGGGGAGGGGGCAGTGGGGAGAAATGAACCAATCCTTGTATGTACATATGAATAATAAAAGAAAAATGAAAAAAAAAAGAAAATTGAAAAAAAAAAAAACCAAAATGTTATTTTATGTGGATATGTAAGATTCCATCTTACTGATGCACCATAATTAACCATTGTGCTATTGAACATTTTAGTTGTCACAACATTTTTTATCCATGATAGCATTTGTTTTTAGGGGAGAAAATAGAGTAGGGGGTTGATTTTTGACATCTCGATGGGATATCAGCACTCCTCATTGTACACTACCTCTGACATCCCAGATGTGCATATGTATGCATAGATCTTAAGCACTGAGCAGATGTGGTATTGGTGCTGTGCTTTAGTACTTACAAATAGAGATTCTCTGGGTTTAACAATAAAACTGGGCTCTTTGGGGTGCTCATCCATGAAAGATTGACTTTTTTTTCTATTAAGTTTATTAAAACAATGGTAGGAGTAATCGAGCCTCTTGGGAAATCAAAGCTGTGTGTTCTGTGCTATTGAGTCTGGATGTGATGCCTTTGATTGTCTCTTGCCTGTGGTCCAGCTGGTGCTCACAGCTGCCTCTCTCTCGATCTCTCCTTGCAGTTGCTGGGACTTCCGGATGCAGACGATGATGCATTTGAAGAGTACAGTGCAGATGTGGAGGAGGAGGAGCCAGAGGCAGACCACCCCCAAATGGGGGTCAGTCAGCAGTAAACCCCCAAGGGCACCTTCTGGAGAAGGAGAGTGAGCCCTGTGATACCCTGGGTGGGGTCGTGTGCTCCTGGGGTAGCACTTTGCATTAGTACTTTGAAACAGGACATTTGGCTCCCGGCATCCAAATTAAAATGAAATACCTTTTTAATGACCACACGATATCTGAATTTTGGTCCTGCTTTAGCGGGGTTGTCTTGGTAGCCTTTGCCACTTTGAATCTAGAGTCCATTTCGTGGCTGCCTGTTCTCTCTTGAGTTTATGTTGGAGAATTAGCATTTGCTGACTGGAATGCAGAGAACTCTGGATGTATTAAGAGTATGTTTTGAGTCCTCACAGGTGACCTCACTGAGGAAAAGCATGGCAGAGAAGATACATAGTCTGCACTTTTTATGTACCTTTTAAGTGTCCATAAGTGAAAGGTTTTTGCTTATAAAGCATGAGTTTTAATATCTAGTCATTAAGCAGCATAAGTGCAAATACAAGGGCAGAAGAGGATAATCACTTAGCTTTGGATAAGAGGGAAAGAGGCTGAGAAGCCTTAAGGAGATTGACCATTCCCGAGTTAGTTACCTGGGTATTCAGCAGCTGGTTCCTGGTTATATATAAATGTTACTTGAGTGCTCAGTTGTTTCAAAACAATGCTAATTCCAAAGCCACTTTTAAGGTCTAATAGTGGAAACTATAAATGGGATGGAAGATATAAATTATTGACTTCTTTAAGCTGTTTATAAAATTATCCCACATGTGAAATGAAACCTTTACCTTCTCTCTTTATAACGAGATGGCTACTTGTAAAATCATGAAAACACCCAGAATCCAAGTAAGTGCCACTTAAACTTTGAAGCCATAGATAAATTTAATAGGAAATAAACCAGGATAAGAAAAAACTTTAAAAATATAATGGAATAATTTACTTTCTTAATCATTTATTCTTTAAAAAAAATCAAAAAAAGGCTCCCTTGTGTAATTTATTTAAAATTGTAATCAAATACATTAAGGGACCTAATGACAGTGAGTGAAAGTAGGAATCTTAGTCATGGGTAGCTTGGTTAAAAGGGGGCATTTTAATGATCAAGATACTCGCACAACTTAATTGCTGTCATCACTCAGCCAAAAATGCTAACCGGGTGATTTGGAGCACTCGTTTTCTTGGACCCTTCTGCATCTCTGGTTCTAGTGACTGGGGTGGGGAACACCACCTTTGCAGCATTTGATTCCTCTGAGAATCTGGGTTAGGAAGGTTTAAAACATGCATACCCATGTTCAGTCATCAGAGTTTCCAATTAAAAACAAAATAAAAGTGAAACAACAGTAACAGAGGCCACATAACTCATGGGAGGCTTGTATATCTTCTAGGCATGTCAGGGAAATCTGATTGTCTTAGCAATTTCTTTTAAATCCAGCGGTGCTATGAAGAGTCCTGCTGCTTGTGGACAAATAGCGTACTGTAGTTTTAAATCACAGGGTAGAAGAACAGAGTGGTTTCTGTCTGTGCTTCAACTACCCATGGTTTTCCTTTCTTTTCTTGGGAAAACATATTAAACATCAGTTTCAAGTCAAATGAATTTCCTTCAATTAGCACATTAGCAAAACCGGACTTAGCGTTTCATCCACTGGCACGAGCAGGTTCAGGTCCCGCTCTTTGTGGCCCTGCCACTGTTCCCACTGGTTCAGCTCAGGAACAGAGGAGACTGAGCTCTGTGTTCTGTAGCCACCTACTGCCCAAACTTGGTGACCTCCATTTAACACAGTAGGCTACAGAACGACCTCTACAACCTTAATGAAGCCTGACGAGCTTCCTCTATTCTAAGGTAAACTGGAATTTTATACATAGAGGCTTCAGATCTAAATTTACATGTTTGGGAGTAGAATGGACATTAAAATGTATTTTATCAAAAAAGCATTTAGACTTTGACCAAGTACACATCAGTATTATCATGTTAATACTCTGTAAAAATTGAGCTGAAACAGACTCAGGCATTCAGTGGGCTGACAAGAAGTCTGGTCTTTGTGCTGCCCCAGCGGTAGGGGAGAGAAAACACAATTTTCTAGGTCAGTTCCCCAAAGGCATTAGCAAATCTGATTGCTTTCTCTCAAACTTTCTTTTCTCTGATGGTTGCACATCCCTCCCAGTGCTCTCACACATACATGCACACACTCCTACCCACACTGTGGACATTCTTCTGGGGCCGTGTGACCACACAGTTTTGACAGCCTGTGGTTTGTTATGGAAATGATTCCATAGTGAGACCAAATACGTGACTTTCCCTAGACCTTCATATGCCCTTGCCAGGAAGCAGCAATGGTGTGGGAGGAGCATCACCTGCAGTTTGGAGAGACACTGAGGTACTAGTCTTGACCCTGGCATTGAGTGCATGACTTTGGTGAATCCTTAGCTAGCCTCTGAAACAGGGACATTGCACTCTCAGCTTTAAACACCTGCCTCACAAAATATGTGGACATAGGAGCAACATCAAGGCTACTTAGAGACTCAAGAAGAAAATGCATTTGGAATCTTGCCAAAGATGCTGCCCTTAGGATGCCAGACATGGGGCTGCCTTAGAACATGTTGGCCAGGACGGGTTCCTGCAAGTCGAGGGTAAAGCGCAGACATGCTTGTCTCAGTTGTATGTGCTCTGCCTTGGAGCTAGAGCTTCTTTTTGTGCCCTGACATTGGAGGGTTGGCAGGTAGTATAGTGTTAACTGAGGGGAGTTTTGCATGAAGAGTAGCTGGAGGAGAGTGAAAGAATGAGTACTTTTGACTTTCTTGCTGTATCATTCAGGAGAGAGAAAGTGACAGTGAAAGTACTGTAAGCAAGTGAATGAGTGTGTGGGGAAAGAGAGAATGAGAAAATGAGAATGTGGGGGAATGATTGATGGCAAGCTGTGAAAGACAGAATCATGCCTGTGCTAACATTATAAAACCTTGATCCTTAGTTTGAGTGAATCATGGGGACGTTTTTCTCATGGCTGCCTGGTTATTTTCCCCTGCCTGATGATCACATCAAGCAGGCTTCATGAGTGAATCATGGAACCAGGGAGGGGAATGAAGCCCTACACAGTGCCTGGCACCACCAGGCATTCGGTTACACTGAGGTGCCTACTTGTGTCTCCCAGGCCTACAAGCACCACGTGGTACATTTTGTTTTTCCACAACCAGAGCACAAAAAGTCTGCTATGTAGGAAGCTTCTCCTTGTGTCTTGGTGCCAGAATTGGGTTTCCAGTATATTGAAATGAGAACGTCTGTCCACTGGTAGTGAACGCCATTGTTCATGTACAGACAGAAACTGTTCTCTAGCACAATGCACATCCGTGAATATTGTTTCAGTGTCAGAAGAGCACAAAGTGTGGTCCAGGGAAGCAGAGATCCCAGAGCGTCATTGCAGCTTAGGTTTTAGGAGCCAGCTTTGCATATTAAAATTCATGACTTGGGAAACTGGCATGAACAAACCTGGTTTCCCTCAGTGAGAAGCATGTAGGAACAGACAGGACTTAATGTGGGCTGGGAGGAGCTGAATAGAGACAGTGGTGGGAGAGTTAGGTCTTAAAGTCAGGTTTGAGTTGTTTAAAAAAAAAAAAATGAGATGGTCTGTGGAGACTGACAGTTAAGTATGGCACAGGAAGACGTACCCTGACTGTCTCCAGGTGTCTGCTTTCCAAGAGACTGTGTGTGAGAATCCTCTCTGGTGATGGCTTTGTGACTTTAAAAACGCCCCCAAGCCAAGGACACAACAGATGTCCTACATATTTGGTGGAATCCCTGGCTGCCAGCCACAGAAGCCTGTCTTTCAAGAATGCTGACAGACCCAAGAGGAGCTGCAATCACAGACAGGTAGAAAATGATCCAAACTTGGGTCTTGCCAAGGCTGCAAGAGGTCATAGTCAGGAGCAGGCCCACCTGTCCATGCACTCCACGGTGTTTCCAGCTTGCAGGAAGAGCACACTGCAAACTCAAGTGAAGGCAGATGTTTTCTTCCCTAGAGTAAGCGTTGACTCTAAAGAGATACCATTGCCAGAAAAACCTAAAATGCATTTGCATTAAAGAAAAGTTTTCTTTCATAAACGCCAGGTTATCTTGATTTAATGATATCAGGTATATCATGAGAAGCTGAGATCTTTTAGGTTTTATACAGAGTAATTCTGTGGACTCTTTGGCAATATGCTATGAGCATTTCAGATTAGAAACCCCATTTATAGCACCATACAGTTGAAAAATCGTCAGCAGTTAAACCTGTGTACCAGGTCACATAAAAATTAACATTCAATTTGCTTAGAGCTCTGTTCAGATTGTTCAGCACCAGAGAGAAAGCTGACAGTCTATTCTTCCTAAATTGCTATTCCCTGGTTTTTTTCTTTTGTTTTTCTTTCTCAGATTCACTTTTTACCACACTTTCTGGAATGGCATAAAAAGGTGGAACAGTGCTCGGTACAAATGTCACCTTCTTAGAGGAGGAAATAACTCTTCAGTGCTGGACAAGTTTGAAACACTCTGCAATCCAGTCCTAATTTGTGTATGAGAGCAAATTTAGCCACCTGCAGTGAGAAGCAAAGCAAGGAAAAATCAAAAGCAATGGGTTTTTTTGTTGTTTTCGGGTTTTTTTTAGGCAAGAAGTGTTTTCCTGTAGGTACGCGTGTTTTCTTCGCCTCATACTTCCTTTCAAAGAAATCTTGTGTAAATTACAAAACTGTGAACTGGGTTGCCAAAAATTGTTGCCCTTTGTTAGATGCCTCGATGGTGTAAATTCTCTCTTGCACCCTGTCCCCATCTGTGCCCTCCTCCCCCCCAGCCAGGATCTCATCCAACGATGTAAATTACCATAAGCTTGCATTAAAGAGCCTTCTAAACCCTGGTGCTGACTGCCTCTTTTTTACTCTCTCCACAAATTATGGTACTATAGGACACCTCACGTGATAAATGAGAACTCAGGACCATCCATGGGCAGAGGTAGTGTGGGGAGGAAGCTGGGCAAAGTGGTGGGGGGAAACAGGAAGCAGTTACATCAAACACTGACATAGCCTCAAAGGTTAATCGTTTATGTGTTTGGGGACATACAGCTACTCTAATCCTATAGCCAGTGTTTAGCAGTTTTCCTTTGAACTGGTACTTTAGTTTTATATTGTTAGGACCCGGAATCCTATTCCCCCGAGAGACAGAGAGCCAGGCGTGAATGCAATCAACAAAGCAGAGTTTATTGGGCTGGCTAGCCAGGGTCGAGCTCCCACACGGACACGCAGGACCGGTTAGGAAAACACGACCCTGAGCCTCTTTAGGGGAAATCTTATATAGACCGCGGTGGCATGCATATTTTCGTTATCAACATTGGGCAAGCAGGCAGAGCACATCTTGCGCGTACCTCACATCTTGCACGTACTTCACATCTTGCACGTACCTCCCGCTCACATTCCCCACATTCTATATGCCCTAACTGAGCCCTGCCGCATTGCTTATCTTATCTACATGGGATGTTTGGTACTGGTTTCTCCAACAAGGGGGTTGGGGCCCGCTGAGACCTCCTATTCCTTTCATTCCCCCCTTTTCTTACGGCCTAAATTGAGGAATCATTCTCAAGGGGATGAAGAGCCTGATATTGTTGGCGGAGGACCAGAAGTTGGATAGTATTAATTCGACTTTTGACAAAAGTCATAAGTCGGTTTAGAATCCAGGGTCCTATGGTAACAAGTAATAGGATGATTATTATTGGCCCTGCCAATGCAGATAAAAGGGTAGCCAACCATGGGAACTGGTTAAACCAAGACTCGAACCAGCTTTCCCCGGCCTCTCTTTCTCGTTTTCTTTGTTCCAGGCTCTTTCGAAGTTTAGACATGGAGTCACGAACAACTCCGGTATGGTCAGCGTAAAAACAACATTCTTCCCCTAGAGCAACACATAGTCCCCCTTTTGGAGGAACAACAAGTCCAGACCTCGTCGGTTTTGAAGTACTACCTCAGACAGGGAAGTGAGGGATTTTTCTAGGTGGCTAATGGAGGTTTCTATTCTCTCTATATCTTCGTCTATGGCTGCACGCAGCGAAGACATCCCTTTCTGCTGGGTGGCCAAAGAAGCTATGCCGGTTCCTGCTCCCGCTAACCCTAGGCTGAGTAGGGTAGCAATAGTTACTGTGGAAATAGGTTCTCTCTTTTTCCTTTTTTCAACCATTTTTGTATTCCAGTATGAATATAGACTCTCTTCCGAATGATAGAGGATGCGGGGCAGCACAGTCACTATAACACAGAATTCTTTAGAGCTGTTAAACACCTTAGTTGATAGGCACGGGGTGAGTCCAGACCGCGAGCATAGCCACCACCCATTGTCCTTTGGAATTACCCATTTAATAGCATTTTCCCAGGTAGAACTGGCGTTAATAACAGTACATAAGTCCCGTCTGTTCTTTGGCACTTTTCCTAAGCAGGTTCCTTGGCCGCTTACCTGCTGTATGGTCAGACCTCTCTTACGGTCTCCCCAGGAACATTGAGTAGGGTTTTCCTCAGATGAGGTATCGTGAGTGGTGTTTAGCCCTATTGCCTCATAGAATGGGGGCCTCACATCATAACATAACCAACAGGAGTTAGTCATGTTAGGGTTGGTGTGGTTTAACGTCAGGAAGGCAGCACCCACTAGCTCCCAGAGGGGGTCTTTAGATGCGGTCATGAGACTGGGCCTCACCAGGGGAGGGCTGGTTTCTGATGGTCTTGGAGTTGTAACATTAGCCCGGGCTATGGTTGAGGGAAGGTGATGAGCTGTGGAGGTCGGGGAGGTGGCTTTACATAGGGTGGCCTAAGTACCTTATTAGGGCCTATTGTTAGAGTAGAGACTGGTTGTTGCACACGCCGCAAAGTAAAAAGGGCTCCTGGATGATTTGTTTTGTAGAGTCTGACTCCCCAGGATTTACCCAATTCCCAATTCGTTGCCTTTTTTCCTAAATCAGTGAAATTTATCATAATGGGATTACAATTGGGGGGAGTTGGGCATCCCTTATTTATAGGTCTAGGTTGGTGGTATGTAATGCCAGATTGAGAGACTCTACTTAATTGAATAAGGTCCCCCTGTTTGGGGGGTGGCCACCATATATCCCCTGAGCTCTCACAACCCCATGACTTACAATAATAGTCTGCGATTCCTCCACATTTTTTTCTGTGGTTGGGTTGGGGAGCGGGGCAGACATAGAAGTAACTTTGGCGCAAATCCCATTGTCCCCTGCCAGTGAATAAGGCCCTTAAGTCAAAGTATAATTCTGGGAACCAGGTGCTGGGAGGGGTCACCTTGGAGGTCTGGTTAAGAATGTCTCCTGTGGACACATCTACAATCATCCAGGTCAGGTTAAAAGGTTGATGTGGATTTGTATGCCCCCAGCAAGTGGTGGACAGGGTTAGAAAAAGGAATAAAGTTACCGAGGTCCAGTATGAAGTTTGAGTTTGAAAAAATTTTCCTTGTGGTGGGACACCCTTCTTGTTGGCAGGAAGCCTTTCTTCATAGCTACCGGATCTGCCGGTCTGATGTGGGTGTAGTGGACCCAGGTGATAATCCCATTCTAGGAGGGCTGCGGAGCATCTGGAGTGTTCTCGTTTTTCGGAGCATCCCGTATCAGCCGGAGCTTGAGTGGGTTTGTTGGATGCTTCCGTGCGGACCAATTTTCCTGTTTTTTCTCCGGAGGGTGAGCCCGTCTTACATGGGAATGGTGTACCCATGCTGCAATCCCGTCGACCTTGAGGGCGGTAGGGGTAGTAAACAGTACAACATAAGGTCCTTTCCATCTAGGCTCTAGGGTTTTGGACTGATGCCTTTTAACCCATACCATGTCACCCGGGACTATGCCATGTTCCGGAGCCGGGTCCCTCTTAACAGCGTGGTATGCTTGAATTAAGGGCCAAATCCGTTGTTGCACTTTAGCTAAAGCCTGCAACATGGTCAGGTAATTTGGGGCCAGATCACCTAGTTCTGGGCTTAAGGTCCTCTGAATGATGGGGGTGGAGCCCCATACAGGATCTCAAAGGGAGTTAGCCCATGGACATAGGGGGAGTTCCGGACTCGGAAGATGGCCAAGGGAAGGAGCGTCACCCAATCACCGCCAGTCTCCAGGGCCAATTTGGCTAAAGTCTCCTTTAGTGTCCTATTCATCCTTTCTACTTGCCCTGAGCTCTGGGGGTTATATTCACAATGTAGCTTCCAATTGGCCCCCATAGTCTGGGCTAGTCCCTGCAGGACTTTACTAACAAAAGCCGGACCGTTATCTGACCCAATTGCCTCGGGCACCCCATATCTGGGTATGATTTCCTCTAGCAAAGCCTTTGCCACTACCTGACTCGTCTCCTTCTTTGTAGGAAAAGCCTCCACCCAGCCTGAAAAGGTATCTATGAATACCAGCAAATATTTGTACCCAAACTTTCCCGGTTTTACCTCAGTAAAATCCACTTCCCAACTTCTTCCCGGAGCCCTCCCCCGTTCCCGAGTACCTGTATGGTGCCCCTCCCTTCGTCCTGGTTTCATGATTGTGCAGCTGGCACAATCTTCCACAATTTGGCGGACTGCTATGGTCTGGTTCGGAAATCGGAGCTGCGCAGATGTCAACAAGTCTAGTAATTTTCTCCGCCCCAAATGGGTGGACTTATGT